GATTTGTGAAAAGTTCACTGATTAAATGTGCAATCGCTGTTCAAATATTTAGGGGAAATCTAGAATTGTGAAATTTGTGGGTTGTTATTTTTAGCTGTAGAAGGAGTCTGTGAATGTTTAGAGGAAAGATAATTATTTAAAAATTCATTGATCATTAACAAAAAAACAAATTGTGGTGGATTTTCCTGTCCATGGTCAAAAGCTTCTCAGTCATTGAAGGAGCTCTCCACCATGTTTTCAACAAATGGGGCTGGAAAAAGTGGCCAGCAGCTGAGGGGAGGAAAATTGGGGAATTGGGGTTTAATTGTGGTAGACAGTTTCAATTTTGTAAGATGAAAAAATTCTGGAGATTTGTTGTGCAAGAATGTGAATATACTTAACGGTACACTTAGAAATGATTCAGGTGCCATGGGGTTATGATACAGATTGGTTTTCGGCCAGGTGCAATGGCTCACGCTTGTAATCCAACACTTTGGGTGGCTGAGGCGGGCAGATCACTTGAGGTCAGGAGTTCGAGAGCAGCCTGGCCAATATAGCGAAACCCTGTCTCTATTAAAAATACAAAAATTAGCCGGGCATGGTAGCGCAAACCTAAAGTCCCAGCTAGTTGGGAGGCTGAAGCACGAGAATCTCTTGAACCCGGGAGGCGGAGGTTCCAGTGAGCCCACTGCACTCCAGCCCGGGCAACACAGCGAGATTCTCTCGCTCTCAAAAAAAAAAAGAAACAAAAACGAAAAAACAAAAACAAAAAACTACAAAAAATTAGCCAGGTGTGGGCACCTATAATCCCACCTACTTAGGAGGCTGAGGCAGGAGAATTGCTTGAACCTGGGAGGCAGAGGTTGCAGAGAACCAAGATTGTGCCACTGCACTCCGCTGCGGCGAACGGTGGCCCTGTCCCCCTCCCCTACCCCAAAAGAAAAGAAAAAAACAAGAAGTAGTCAAATCTCTAGGGTCTCCAGTGTGTAGATGAGGATAGGGTGCGTGGAGAAGCTGAAGATGCTAAATAGCCTGGCTCCCCGGTCTGGGAAATGCTCACTCCGTAGAACCTCCCTCTGGGAAGGACAAAGCTCCACACACTGGTGAAAACTGACAGAGAAACAAAACCCAAACTGATCTGGCAGGTGCAAAGAGAGTAATAGCAGAGGGAAGTTCTGATAACGGTGGGGGCAAGAACCAAGGAGACAGAGTTTTGCTCCTGAATATTGGAGAGGTGGCTGTGCTGAGTGGTTATATATTGAATACAGTACTGTGGGAAAAACAGCAAAGAATCAACTTTATTTATTTATTATTTATATTTTTAAATTTTTTAGACAAAGTCTCACTCTGTCACCGAGGCTGGAGTACAGTGGCGCAAACTTGGCTCACTGCAATCTCTGCCTCCTGGGTACCAGCAATTCTCCTGCCTCAGCCTCCCAAGTAGCTGGGATTACAGATGTGTGCCACCATGCCCTCCTGATTTTTGTATTTTTAGTAGAGACAGGCTTTCACCATGTTGGCCAGACTGGTCTCAAACTCCTGACCTCAGGTGATCCACCCACCTTGGCCTCCCAAAGTGCTGGGATTACGGGAGTGAGCCACCATGCCTGACCTGCCTCCTAAATTAACATAATTTTTTATATTTGTCTATAAAATAGCAAAAGGTATAGCTGTAAAATGTTTAAAAATATAAACACATAATAGTAAGCTCTTAATAAGTATTTCTTGCATCAATGGTCTTGGTAATAGTTACTGAGACCATTGAGACTATTGGAATAGTTACTGAGACCATGAATGTCAGTTTCAAGAATAAAACTTGAAATGATAGAGGCTGTAGTCATTCATAATACTGTATGCACTGGAAAGCTGAGACCCCATGGATACTTTCCTTTTTCTGTACTAAAACATTGATTTTGTTTGTTTGTTTTTAAAGTTTCAATCTAGCATGTTTTGACTTTTAGCCAGTATAAAAAGTTCACATCTATAGCATAATCAACATTTGCACTGAAAAGTTCACATCTATAGAATAATCAACATGGAAATGTTTTTCAAATTTCAAGTCTCTGCCTATACATTAGGATGTATAAGTGAGTGGAAGCATTAAGTTCTAGTCAGTGATTATCCTATAAATGTAAGAAATATATTTTTATTTTAGGGTGGTTATTTCTTCATGTTTTTAGGTCCAAATATAGCATTGATTATAAATAGCCTTAATAAGCAATTAAATAATACTATCTGATTTTATTTCGTGGGCTTTTCTTTTTTTTAGTAATGGTTAATTATTTTTTAAAACCTCACAAGGTAAAATTTCTCGTTGCCTCAATATTTCTTAAATCTTTCCCAGGCTCCTTAAGCTGCACTATATATATTGATGCCTCAAATATCTACTTTTCAGATATAGTCCCTCTAACCTTCATTGTAATACTGAACTTACATCAGCTTTTATTTGTGATTGCTGTATAAGCACAGTTTGGTGTTAAAGTTTAAAAGCCAGAACAGTGTGAGAGATTTTTGTTTTTAACAAAAGTCAGTCTGTACTTTCTAAATCAATAAAATATCTAAAATATGCTTTTGTGGAGTTCTGCAGATCTGAAAATTATGACTAGTGGATAACTCATTAATATATAATAGGTACTTTTAATGCTTGTTTAAAAAAATCTCTTATAGTATGTTATTGTGGGTTTTTTTTTTTCATTTTGACATTCCGTAAGAATCTGTGGTCAAATTATTTTTACATAGTACATTATTGTTTATTGTTTGAATTAACCATTTTTAAAAATCATAAACCATTGTTATATCTGAGGAGGTTCATTTTAAATTAGTTGTATTTAAGAAAATGATTATAAATTTTTCTCTAAAATTGTTAACCTGACTTTATCAGTGAATGAATTCCAATCTTTTACTTCAGAACCACTGCGATAGGTTTATTGGTCCACAATGATAATAATATCACAGAAGCAAAATAGCTTACCTACATTAGGGTTATGGCACTGATGCAGGGGTAGTCTTTTAATGTCTTGCATTTATTTTTATGAAAATTTTAAGAAAACTAATAGTTTTAAATATTTTAAATAAGTTGAGGCTGGGAACAGTAGCTCATGCCTATAATTCCAGTACTTTGGGAGGCTGAGGCGGGCAGATTACTTGAGGCCAGGAGTTTGAGACCAGCCTGGCCAATATGGTGAAACCCTGTCTCTACTACATATATAAAAATTAGCCTGGCGTGGTAGTGGGTACCTGTAATCCCAGCTACTCAAGAGGCTGTGGTGGGAGGATCGCTTGAGCCTGGGAGGCAGAAGTTGCGGTGAGCTGAGATTGTACCACTGCACTCCAGCCTGGATGACAGAGCAAGATCCTGTCTTTAAAAAAAAGAAAAAATGTGTGTGTGTGTATGTGTGTGTGTGTATACCTATGTATGTATATCTTGAGTAAGTTGAGAGGAAAAGACTATTACTTGAATTATTAATGGTTTTCATGTGTACTTTCAATGAACAGTTATATTTGGAGTATGGAGAAGACAAGTAGATGTGAGACAAGGCAACCTCTATAGATAAAAAATACACATATATACATACATAAATGTAGAGATGTTTATATGTAATACAGTCTTATTATAAAATGTAAGTAATCCTGAAAACGAGAGTCCCCCTTCGGATTAATCTTACTTTCTGCTATACTGTTCAATACAATAGCAAGTAGGCACATTAACTATTCAAATTTAAGTTAATTAAAATTAAATAAAATTTTAAATTTATTTTCTCAGTCATACTAGCCACATTTCACATGTTACTCTGTTGGACAATCTAGAAACAGAACTGTCCCATCACCATAGAAAGTTCTATCAGATAGCACTGCTCCAGGGATTATCATTGATATATATTCTGGTATAAATTCTTTTATGATTTTTTCTACACATATACTCACATTATTACTATTTTGCAAAAATTGGATTCTACTTTATAGCTTGTTTATGACAAAAACATTTTTGACATCCTTTCATATTACATTGCACATAGATTACCTCATTCCTTAAGTGGTTATTTCATTATATGGTCATATCATATTTATTTATTTAACTGGTTCTCCATTGATGGACAGTCTACAAGGTGAAGCCAGTATGGATAATTTGGGAATATGACATTTTTTGTTTGGTTTGATATATTAAACCCTAATCATTTTTTATATTACAATCTTTGCATGTATCCAGAAAAGGATACAGAAAAACTATACATTAAAATGGGAGTGGAAATGTCTATTTAGCCTATCAAAAATTGAAGCATCTTTGAACTGTGATACTGCAGTACGGAGATATTATTTTAAATAATAATATCAGGCCAGTTACGGTGGCTCACGTCTGTAATCCAAGCACTTTGGGAGGCTGAGGCAGGTGAATCACGTGAGGTCAGGAGTTTGAGACCAGCCTAGCCAACATGGTGAAACCCCGTCTCTACTAAAAATACAAAAGTTAGCCAGGCGTGGTGGTGGGTGCCTGTAATCCCAGCTATTTGAGAGGCTGAAGCAGGAAAATAGCTTGAACCTAGGAGGCGGAGGCTGCAGTGAGCCGAGATCGTGCCAGTACACTCAAGCATGAGCGACACAGTTAGACTCCCGTCTCCAAAAATAAAATAAAACAAAAAAGTCTCTAGCTGCCAGATGCAGTGGCTCACACCTGTAATCAATCCCAGCACTTTGGGAGGCCGAGGCAGGTGGATCATTTGAGGCCAGGAGTTCAAGACCAGCCTGGTCAACATGGTGAAACCCCCTTTCTACTAAAAATACCAAAAACATTAGCTTGGCATGGTGGTGCCTGCCTGTAATCCCAGCTACTTGGGAGGCTGAAACAGGAGAATCGCTTGAACCCAAGAGGTGTAGGTTGCAGTGAGCTGCACTCCAGCCTGAGGGACAGAGTGAGACTGTCAATAAATAAATATATAAATAAATAGTCTCTAGTCAAATATTTAAGTTAAATTGGCTGAAACATCACTAATTCTTTTTCTTTGTCTTCTACCCTCTTAACACAGGCTACAAATGCTCATACCAATGAAGTGGTGGCAATTAAGAAGATGTCCTATAGTGGGAAGCAGACCCATGAGGTAAGATAGAGACAGTTGTACACCTAAACTGAAATAAGCAAGTTAGTATGAAATTAACAAAATTCTTTAAACCTTTTTTAGAACAATTTTTTTTCCTTCTTATGGAGCATATAATAAAAGATTCTGGAGTTTTTCATACAAATGTGTGAACATTCATAATTATTTTTAAAAAGGCTAATGTTCTAGCTCAATTAACTATTTTGCAGGCTGGTTGAGGTGGCTCAGGCCTGTAATCCCAGCACTTTGGGAAGCCAAGGCTGGAGGATCACTTGAGCCCAGGAGCTCAAGACAAGCCTGAGCAATATGGTGAGACCCCACCTCTACAAAACATCAAAAAAACTAGCTGGGTGTGGTGGTGTGTGACTATAGTCCAGCCATTCGGGAGGCTGAAGTTGGGAGGATTACTTGAGCCTGGGACATGAAGGCTTCAGTGAGCCATGATTGCAACACTGTACTCTAGCCTGGGTGCCTGAAAAGAGAAAAAAAAAACTATTTTGTAGACCAGAACATAGGTATGTGTAATGGCTTTTTTGTAATGTTTTTGGTGATAGATTTGTGTTTACATGTATTCAAACTAAAGAAATAGCATGTTTAGGCCAGGCACAGTGTCTCAAACCTGTGATCCCAGCACTTTGGGAGGCTGAGGCAGGCAGATCACCTGAGGTCAGTAGTTCGAGACCAACCTGGCCAACACAGAGAAACCTCATCTCTACTAAAAATACAAAAAAATTACTTCGGTCTGGTGGTGCACGCCTGTAGTCCCAGCTACTTGGGAGGCACGAGAATCACTTGAACCTTGAACTGGGCAGCAGAGATCACGCCACTGCACTCCAGCCTGGGCAACAGAGCAAGACACTGTCTCAATTAAAAAAAAAAAAAAAAGAGATATAAATAGCATGTTTAAATAGCTTCTTCATTTATTAAACATTTACTTTATGTCCATTTATAATAATATAAATAATATATATGTATGCTTGATAGGAAATACTGTTTTCCTATCAAAAATTAAATTAAAATGTTTCCTTTCTGACTTCAATAGAAATGGCAAGATATTCTTAAGGAAGTTAAATTTTTACGACAATTGAAGCATCCTAATACTATTGAGTACAAAGGCTGTTACTTGAAAGAGCACACTGCTTGGGTAAGTCGAAGGACCTCTGTTATCTTTCTTTTACTGTTACCTTTTTTTTCTTTTTTTCTATTATCTATTTGATAATAGAACTATTAATTTCATTTCTGTTCCATTTAACTTTTGTTATCAGTATTTAACATTTGTTAATACCTTGGTGTGTCATATGGTATACATTCCATAAGATTAAATGATATCTAGCGTATGGAAATTCCATTCTATAAACACTCGAAAAGAGATGGTGAAAAGTTGACATCATTTTATAATTATATGTTTGTAAAAGTAAAAGGCCCAGCCTTACATTCTCATCCTAGAATTTTTATCTTTGTCATTTCTCATCCTCCACTCCAGTTCCCCCATATTTGGAATTGTCCTTGATGTTTTAATTGCTATGTGATTTTTACCAAACAGGGGCCACCATATGATTAAAATAAAAGACTTTTGTTACACTCTGTCATCTTAGTGTGATATATATATATGTGTGTGTGTGTGTGTATATATATGCATGCACACACACATTTTTTTTTTTTTTTTTTTTTTTTTTTTTTTTTTTTTGAGACAGAGTTTTACTCTTGTTGCCCAGGCAGGGGTACAATGGTGCGATCTCAGCTGACTACAACCTCTGCCTCCCGAGTTCAAGTGATTCTTGAACCTCAGCCTCCCAAGTAGCTGGCACTACAGGCACACGCCACCACACCCAGCTAATTTTTTGTATTTTTAGTACAGACAGGGTTTCACCATGTTGGCCAGGCTTGTCTTGAACTCCTAACCTCAGGTGATCCACCTGCCTCAGCCTCCCAAAATGCTGGGATTACAGGCATGAGCCATTGTGCTCGGCCCTTAGTATATTTTTATATGATTGTATTTCTGGCTTTAGGTTGGCACATTAGGCACATTTAGGACATGAAAATGTTATGTTTTCTACTTTATCCAATTGTACATTCCTACTTAAACTCCAATTTAACTAACATTTATTGTTTACCATGTACCAACTCCTTTCCTGTATGTGATCTGTAATTATGGAATGGAATTTTTGTTCCTAAATAGACTATCAAACAGTATACAAACATACACATTTCTGTTCAAGCAACTCTTATGTAGAGCTATTGCTTCCATTCTGAAAATAAGAAATTAATCAAAGAAGTATCTCATTATCTGGAAATCAGTTCTCTGGCAATCTCAGCTGTCTTGAAGGAGTCAAGAAAGGGATTTCAAGCAGGCAAAATAAATGTTACAAAATCCAAGTGCTAAAATCTCATATATTTCAAGTCTTCAGAAAATCCTCCACACTGTTACTTGAAGCTTGTTTTCTCTGTTGCCAGCTACTTGGGAGGCTGAGGTTCAAGAATCACTTGAACTCGGGAGGCAGAGGTTGTAGTCAGCTGAGATCGCACCATTGTACCCCTGCCTGGGCAACAAGAGTAAAACTCTGTCTCAAAAACTTTCTCAGCCGCCTGAGTACCATGCCTGGCTAATTTTGTATTTTTAGTAGAGACGGGGTTTCTCCATGTTGGTCAGGCTGGTCTCAAACTCCCGACCTCAGGTGATCCACCCACCTTGACCTCCCAAACTGTTGGGATTACAGGCCTGAGCCACTGCACCCAGCCACTCATTTATTCTTAGATTATATAGACTGCTAATAAGCTTGGCTACCTGGTTTCTGTCTACAACTGATCTGATAGACCAATCAGAAACAGCTGTAAGGAACTGAGCTGTTAGATACATGCATACAAGCAGTCACAAGAATAATTTGACCATATGGAAAAAGTCAGGGGAGCTAGAAAGCAGACCTAATAATTTAAAGGCAGAGCAGCCAGAGCTGTTTAGTGTCAGGAGCAAACAACCAGCTCAGGTGCCTTTGTGTTACAGAATAATAAGGGAAAAAATATTTGTGACAAAAATGCTGAGTTTTTAAACATGTAATTTAAAAAATTTAATGCAGCTAGAAACATACTCATTCTATTCAATTTTAAAGTTCTATATTCACATTTCATGTACTCGGTTTAAGGAGGGTACATCTGCATATTCAGTTACTTTTAAAAATTAGAAAATTATGTGATAAAATTTAGAAATGCTTCCATCAAAATTGATTAAAGAAAAAGTAGGGCACATAAAGGCTAGTGTTCATTATAACATTTACTCATGTGGAATCTTCCATTTCTTAATAAGAAATAAGTTTAATGTTTCTGAATCTGTTTGTTTTTAATGTCAAGCAGAAAACTATAGTATGGTTTCTAACTTCTAAACTTCTAAACCTTTCATTGTTCTAAATTATTCTAGAAATGCAAAGTACACACTACTTAAATATATAACTGTAAAACTATAACATATAAGACATAATTTTATGTAATATGTAACTATTATAGTATTGTAAGTATGTTATATCTAATTTAATTGCATTCCATATAATATAGAGATAGTACACTTATATTTATAATATTAATATGTTCATATTATGTATTGATATTGATATATTGATATTTATAATATATAACTACAAAAGTATAATAGTTTCTAAATTTTAAACTTCTAGACTTCTCATATTCTAAATTATCTCAGTAATGCAAGGTATATAATATATATAAATATATTTTCACATTAATTTTTTTAATGAAAGGAACCAATATGTTGATATTGGTTTTGTCTAGTTTATTATAGGAAATTTATATTTCATAATAAGCATGTACTATTCTTTTAAATAACAAAGTAATAATTTGTAGGAGTGTGAATGCTTGCATGTGTGTGTGGAGATTGGTTGCTGAGCCATGATAGTTTTGACCTTGACTACAAATCAGTAGTCTTGGACACCTAAAAATCTAGGATAAGAGTAAAGAAAGAGGCCAGGCGCGGTGGCTCATGTCTGTAATCGCAACACTTTGGGAGGCCAAGGTGGGCAGACCACCTGAGGTCAGGAGTTTGAGACCAACCTGACCAACATGGAGAAGCCCTGTCTCTACTAAAAATACAAAATTAGCCAGGCATGATGGTGCATGCCTGTAGTCCCAGCTACTCGGGAGGCTGAGGCAGGAGAAGTACTTGAACCCAGGAGGTGGAGGTTGCGGTGAGCCGAGATTGTGCCATTGCACTCCAACCTGGGCAACAAGAGTGAACTCCGTCTCAAAAAAAAAGAGTAAAGAAAGAGGTTTCTCATTTTACTTTTAGACTTGTTTTCTCTGTTTTTTTTTTTTTTTTTTTTTTTTTTTTTTTTTTTTTTTTTTTTTTTTTTGAGACGGAGTCTCGCTCTGTCGCCCAGCCTGGAGTGCAGTGGCCTGATCTCAGCTCACTGCAAGCTCCGCCTCCCGGGTTCACGCCATTCTCCTGCCTCAGCCTCCCGAGTAGCTGGGACTACAGGCGCTCGCCATCTCGCCCGGCTAGTTTTTTGTATTTTTTAGTAGAGACGGGGTTTCACCGTATTAGCCAGGATGGTCTCGATCTCCTGACCTCATGATCCGCCCGTCTCGGCCTCCCAAAGTGCTGGGATTACAGGCTTGAGCCACTGCGCCCGGCCTACGAAGCTAATTTTTGGTATTTTTAGTAGAGATGGGATTTCACCATGTTGACTAGGCTAGTCTTGAACTCCTGACCTCAGGTGATCCGCCTGCCTCAGCCTCCCAAAGTGCTGGGATTACAGGCGTGAGCTGCTGCACCCAGCCTATCAATAGTATTATAGTATTATTCTGGAAATATTTTAAGATCTAAATTTAAATAACACATATATCTCAGGGATTCAAGGTAATGTAATGATACATAGCAGGCTACATCTTCAGATTCAGTTCATAATTATATCTGTTTCTAGTTTAAAACTTTTTAAAGTGTGAGAAAAAGGAATTTACTACTTACTGGTTTATTTTATGTAACTGGTATAACCCCAATATAGATTTTACTGGCTCATGTATTTGTTTGCCACTTTCTGAGTTACAAATTTATAGTACAACATAGTCACCTGAATCCTTTTTGAAATACAGTAGTGAAGGAGTTAATAAATAAATTGGCAATCTGGGCTTCACCATTTATAGTAAATATTTCTATATCTAGTCCCCCAATAATCTTTAGGCCAATTTCAAGCAAGAAATAATAAAAAGTGAGATGATAAAAATTATAAAAATCAATTAGTGCCAGATGACGAAAATTCAGTCCAAGTTGAGGTAGATCAGAATATTTATTCACCTAGTATTCTTAGTTCCTTGGTTGGTTGGTTAGTTGGTTTCAGCAGTTTTTTAATTAACTTTCATTATTCTGAATATTATTTTAATCTCTTATAGTTGGTGATGGAATATTGCTTAGGCTCAGCCTCTGATTTATTAGAAGGTAAGAAAGAAGGAATTAAACTCTCCTTTCTGTTTTACTTTTATCAGAATATTATCTACCACCATACTAAAGTGTAGTTTGGGCAGACTAATTGAACGATGGCTTGGGCTTTAGGGTTGTGTGGATAAGCTATGCACACTTCATCTCTTCAATGCCACTGAAAGTGTCTGAGTGATGTTAGCAGTCTTCCTGCTGTTTTAGTTCATGGCCCATCCAGGGCAGGTACTACCAAAATGTTTGGCTAATGTGATACAGTATGTGTAGCCAAAAACATCATATTCATGGATATATGTGAAAGAGAGACAGTCTCACATTATATTGATATTACACCCTTTCAGAAATCTTTACTGACCCAGTTCCTCTCTGCAGATGCTGCTATAACCAGAGGCTGTATTAAAAATTTACTTAAAAAAAAAATATCTTGAGCCAAGCACAGAGGCTAACACCTGTAATACCAGCTACTTAGGAGTCTGAGCCAGGAGGATCACTTGAGCCCAGAAGTTCAAGGCTGCAGTGAGCTTTGATTGGAACCCTGCACTCCAGCCTGGGTAACAGAGTGAGACCCCTGTCTCAAAAAAAAAAAAATTAAATCACTGTTGATCTCTGAATAGAAATTGCTTATTAGCTGCTTTCACAAATAATGAAAACCTGTAGTTTGAAGGGGTAATTAAAGATGGCTCTGAGGCAGGGGAGAATAATATAACCTAGAACACTCCAGACATTTAAAATGTTGGAAGGGACTGGTTAATTTGGGCCTGGTTAATTGGAATCAGTGTGACTTGGCTTGCAACTGATAAGTAAATTAACAATACATCATTTAAGGAATATCAGGCTTTGTTTTATTTTTGTTTTGAAGGGTCATTTGTGTTGATGCACTTGGGTTTCCTGTTGTCTGATCACTTATTCTCTTCTATAGAAAATCTGTATCCTATATATTTAGGTGAATGTGTTCCCAAATTGTCATGTGAGAAAGTATGTAACTCAGTCTGGTATAGCTGTATAAAATAATAAAATGAGGAATGAAACTGATCATCTACTGACTTTTTTTTTTTTTCCCCTTCCTCAGTTCATAAAAAACCACTTCAGGAAGTGGAGATCGCTGCCATTACTCATGGAGCCTTGCATGGACTAGCCTACCTACATTCTCATGCATTGATTCATAGGTAAAATTAGAGACCAGTTATGTTTCATTTCAGTTACAGGACTGTCTATTCCAGGAACCTTGAAAATTAGTGCATGCTCCAATTTAAGTTGCCTAAGCATTTATGGGAAGCAAATAGATTGCTGCTTCTGGATATAAAGGATAAAGTTGCCAGAATTTAGCTTCTATCTCTTATTCTCTCCTATGTATCCACAATTATATCATCTTTGTTCAGTAGGTAACTGTTCTCCAGGCTAAGTGTTGCAGGGAAATTTGAAAAGGGGCCCAGCAATCTTTAGATACTGTATCATGAAGAAAAGAAAAGAAAATTAACCTTCCCTGCATATATTTATCTCTTAGCAGAGTTATTATCCCTTCCTATTACAAATAACAAGCTAGTCTTATATAAATATATGCTGTTTTGTAACTTTAAAATATTTCATATTTCTGTATAGTTCATATGGATACTTAGGAAGATATTATCCTTACTGTATTTTGGCAGATGAAGAGACCAGGGCTCAGAAAGACTTAACTTGCTCAGAGTTTCACAGAATTTAAGTAATATATTAAGGATTGAAACTCAAGTTTCTTAACTCCTATTCTAGGGCTTTTCTCTGCCTTGTATTTTCTCTACCACAACACCATTCTCCTCCCTGCAACCTCCCTCCCTCCATTAACTTCTAGGGAAAGATGTTACCAATCTTTCCTCCTCTCAGTAATGAACTTTTAGTACAGTTACATTAGTGAATGAGGGGAGTAGTAGTGAAATATTAGGTAGGTATAAAGAATCTGAGATGCCTCACAAATGAAAGAAAACAACTGGCATTTACTAGGAAGAAGTGAAACTATTGGGTTATGGTTCCTCTTTTGCTTCTGTTTTAATCACCCCTGTGTAGCCATGACCACTTTACTGGTACCACAAAAGCAGAACTTCCTAAAGATAGGCAGACCGAAATCCTGCTGGGAATGAAGGACAAAGAGTGAACCTAATCATGTTAATAAATACTGATTAAATAAAATTATCATAATGTCTGTGGATCTGACAACTTTTTGTAAATATATGTCTTTGGTACCAAGGTGTTAATACTACTGCCAACTTGCTTGTGATTAGTTTGCCTGCTCTTATTTAAAGCTACAGTTCAGTTTTTTGCGCCATTACCTTAATCTGGACATTAACTTAATGTTTTAGTCTCTATTATACTTTATCTTCTTTAGTATGTAAAATAATTTGTTGAAGAGTCAAAATACTTATAAAGAATGTTTTTTAAAATTAAAAGTAAATACTATGTCTCAGATTTTTATTGTTTTGATTTAAAAGGCAATTCAATCTCCTAATTAAAGATAAGTAAATACATGTTTCTGTTGTGAAGAAAAATAAATAATGCATTTTTTTTTAGTTCTGTCTGCCAATGCCTAATGTCACCATGAGGAAGGAAACTGAATTTTCAAGGGAAGTTTTTACAAAAGTTATTTTGAAGCATTTGAACCTTATCATTTTCAGCTTGACATAAATTTTCCTCATCTTCTCTGTTTTATCTTTTCACTGACCATCAACTTCCAATTCATGGTTTCTAGTGCTCGCTACACCTCATGCCTTTTTTTAAAAGAATAAGGAATCCATCCACACCTTCTCATTCTCAATTACCATACTGAAAAATGAATTAGAGTTTTCAAACTTTTTACTATATAATACCTCTATTAGCTTTAGTAGTAACCACGTGCAATTCTTTGTAGTAATACAATAGACATGCAATTTCCTAATCCCTAATCCTTGTTTGTTTTGATCTTTCAGGGTCTTCTTTTTACTATACAGAGTTATTTTTAAAATATCACCTTCTATATAACATGTACCTCAAATGCCTTAGAGTTGCAGTTACAATTAAAGGCAGAGAGAAAGGGTCACAGGCAAGAAAGAAAAGGTATGTGTGTAGTTGAGGTTTATTAGTAGGTGGTCAATACGGAATCACTGCAGGTTTGTTTAGGCTCCAAAAATGTCACATAATTTGGAAAAGCAGAAAAAGCAGTTGCAATTGGCACCAATTTTCTCAGCACAGGGAATACTATTGATAACTGGATTTAGCCTTTAAGAATATGCTTTTATAAGTATAGCAGCTGAATAGGTTTCCTTGTTCGCCATGTCTGCTTTTTTTCTCATTGTATTCCCTCCCTCTGAAGAAAGCTCTACCGTTAAGTAATTACTGTGACCTACCTGCAAGTACCCCCAGGAATCTGGGCCCCTTATGACATACAGTAATTACTAAATCTCCTGGCCATCTGAGCAAGGTGTTTTTTTGTTTTTTGTTTTTTAATAAACTTTTTGTCTTATTAATTGCATGCTCTGACCTATTCCATAATCAAAATTGAAAAGTAATTTTCTAACCCTTTTATTTTTTCCTATAGGGATATTAAAGCAGGAAATATTCTTCTAACAGAGCCAGGTCAGGTAAAACTAGCTGATTTTGGATCTGCCTCAATGGCTTCTCCTGCCAACTCCTTCGTGGGCACACCTTACTGGTATGTAGAATTAGGCTGTATGACATAGTTTTAAAATCTGCATACATGAACTCATGGTACTGGTTTGGCTCGATTTTGTGACAGTGTCTTACCAATGTGCCTCAAAAGGAGATTTCATTTGAGAAGGATAGAAAACCCACTGGCATAAAAAGAAACACTCTGGCTTAGTATAAAATTTACAGTGACTTTAAATTGTGTCATTAAGGTTGGTGTCACTGTGTGTAAACTGAGCAGGATTATCAATTCGCTGACCAAGTTCAGGTTTTCGATTTCATTTGCAGTTTCTTTTGAACTTTTCTCTTGAGGCAAAAGCCTCCAGGTAAGGACAGGGCAGCTTCTTTCACCTTCCCTGACTAGCCAACAAGCAGAGACGGTACCTTTCAGTGAAAGAAATCCAAGTTCTTGTCTTTGTTGAGTTCTCCGATAGGTTAACTAGCTTGTCAGTCTGGCTCAAGAGTTTTTCACCCTATTCTTTTCCAGATTCTTTTCCTTCCTTTCCTAGACACGTTGGAATTTCATTATGCCTTACAGAATGACTTAGATCTCTGCAAAATTACTTGCCTACTAAAAATAATCAGCCAGTCTTTGAATTTTTTTTTCTATCACCAAATAACATTTACCAAGCAACAGTTTACACATCATAATAGAGTACAGTTCTGTTCAAAGCATATTAAACGGATAGGGCCCCTGCCCTCCTAATGAAGATGCATTATGGACAAACAAGTAAAGTAACCATTACCACAACCTGGGGTTTTTGTAGGTTTTAGTATCTTTGGAACAGCTGATTATATTGCTGTATATGACTCCATAAAGTATTTTTCATGTTGTTTAATTATTTTAAAAGAATATGGCCAGGCATGGTGGCGCATGCCTGTAATCCCAGCTACTCAGGAGGCTAAGGCATGAGAATCACTTGAACCCAGGAGGCAGAGGCTGCAGTAAGCCAAGATGGCACCACTGCACCCCAGCCTGGGCTACAAAGTGAGACTCTCAACAACAACAACAAAAAAGAGGCCAGGCGCGGTGGCTCACGCCTGTAATCCCAGCACTTTGGGAGGGCGAGGCGGGTGGATCACGAGGTCAGGAGATCGAGACCATCCTGGCTAACATGGTGAAACCCTGTCTCTACTAAAAATACAAAAAATTAGCCAGGCATGGTGGCAGGCACCTGTAGTCCCAGCTACTCATAGTCCCAGCTACTTCGGAGGCTGAGGCAGGAGAATGGCCTGAACCCAGGAGTCGGAGCTTGCAGTGAGCTGAGATTGCACCACTGCGCTCCAGCCTGGGCGACAGAGCCAGACTCCGTCTCCAGAAAAAACAAAAAAAATTTATTGCTTTATTTAATTACTTTAAACAATATGAAAAATACTTTATGGAACTATATAAAGCAATATAATCAGATTTTGCAAAGTAATTATTTAAGTATTTTATATATATTCATCCTTTACAAATATCTGTAAAGTTGCTATGAGAATTATCTCCATTTTACAGAAGAGGAAACTGATGTACAGATAGGTTAAGTAACTTGCCTGAGATCAAAATGATAGTAAGGGGTGGAGCCAGTCTTTATTGAAAATAATGTATTGTGTCATATAAATCACCAAGTAGATTATACTTTGAATAATGGTTTTCACAATTATTTGTGTAAGGAAATAATCTCTCTAGCACACAATTTCAGAATACCCTTAAGAACGGCTGTTTCATTGAATCATTTTACTGGAGAAATTTTATTTTTAATCTACAACTTGAGTTTTGTACCTTACGTTTGGTAGGATGGCTCCAGAGGTGATCTTAGCTATGGATGAAGGACAGTATGATGGGAAAGTTGATATTTGGTCACTTGGCATCACTTGCATTGAATTGGGTGAGTAAAGAGTTATTTGTTTTCATTGTATTTTTTAAAATTCTATTTTGCAGATTAATTTTCTTTGTATTTTTAAGAATCATTATAATTAGGAGTTATTCATCTGGCTATTACTTAATGAGTTACTGGTATATGTGTGCTAGGCAATGAATTTATTGTATTTTTTATACTCTATAACACAGAAAATTGCTTTCTCTCTGCTACATTTTCATGTTATTAATTTTTTTTCTTTTTTTTTTTTTTGAGACAGAGTCTTGCTCTGTTACCCAGACTGGAGTGCAGTGGCGCAATCTTGGCTCTTTGCAACCTCTACCTCCCAAGTTCAAGCAATTCTCCTGCTTTAGCCTCCTCAGTGCAGGATTGTAGGGATGATAGGCGCCTGCCACCAAGCTTGGCTAATTTTTATATTTTTTTAGTAGAGACAGGGTTTTGCTGTGTTGGCCAGGCTGGTCTCAAACTCCTGACCTCAAATGATCTGCCTACCTCGACCTCCCAAGGCACTGGGATTACAGATTTGAGACACCATGCCCAGCCTCATGTTATTCATTTAATTGAAGGAGTTGAAGCAGATATGGCAGTTAACAAATGAAATACAAAATAGTACACAGTAATATATGAAAAATACCCATTCTCCATACTATGAGTGATAATATATGTCCTACCTTTATGGGAGTTTTCCATTACCTTAATTTATACTCCAACTTGTATTAGAGAAATCTGAAAAAGTAATAGAAAGCTTATCAGGGATCTGACTCTAAAACTGTATTTGACCCATGTAGAGCACAACTGTGAAGAAAACCTTGTGTCAGAAGATAAACCTCAGCCATGAAGTTATTCCCCAAATATTGTTGCAGTTATCTAAAATTGTCTCAAGTGCCACAGAATCTCTCCTTTGGTTGTATATTTTGAACTTTAATATATCTTAAACTTACTTCTATCCAGTGGTATACTGGTAAATTTAACAAATGAATCTCTTGTGGAGAGGGGAAAAGGCCTTGATTTGTAGCTTTGCCAATTTCCATGGTATAGATACTCTTAATATAGCCAATGCTATCCACTAAATGTGAAACTGGGGAAAGATATGCACAATGGGCCTTCCAAAGACAATATGAGCTAGCTACAGCATAATACTGCCTTTATCTACATATTTTCATAAATTTTAAATCAAAAATGTTAAAACCTTTTTAAAAATCAGTTTTTTTAAAATTCTTTTTTTTCTTTTTTTTTTTGAGACACAGTCTTGCTCTGTCACCCAGGCCGGATTGCAGTGGCGCAATCTTGGCTCTGTCTCCTGGGTTCAAGCAATTCTTCTGCCTTCGCCTCCCAAGTAGCTGGGATTACAGACATGCACCACCACATCTGGCTAATTTTGTATTTTTAGTAGAGATGGGGTTTTGCCATGTTGGCCAGGCTGGTCTCGAACTCCTGACTTCAGATGATCCACCTGCCTCGGCCTCCCAAAGTGCTGGGATTACAGGCATGAGCCATTGTGCCTGGCCTAAAAAAATTATTCATCTAATTTTTTAAGATATTAATTTCATGTAATTCTATTCAGGTTTCCAAATTGATCCTATAAGAATTTCTGAGTTCTAGTTTGATTCACAGACTACGGTTTTCTCTCTTCCTAAAATGTTAGGCCAACTTGGGATACTTTATATTACATTGCCAATGTTTCATTGACCCCTTCCAACAAAAATGACATATGATAAAAATGCACAATTTGTCTGGATTTTTTTTTTACATTAAAGAAATATTAATTTACAAAAACAAACAAACAAACAAACAAACAGAATTCCTGGAGGAAAATTTGAATATTTACTTATTTTTTTCAATTAGGTAGCAGAATCACAAAGTTTGTGAATCAAAAAACATAAAAAGACATACAGTGAAAGGTATTCTTCCACCCCTGCCCTGTCTACACAGTTCCTACCCCACCCCTGCCAACACACGCAGGGAACCACTTTATTTACTTGTGCGTCCTTCCAGATCTTCTTAGTCAATATACAAACAAACATGAACATACACTTCCTATATTCCTTTTCACACCCAAGGTAACGTATATATGTGGTTCTGTACTTTGGTTTTCCACTTAATAATATCTTGGAGATCTGTTTTATATGACTTAGACATGTTTTTCATCATTTTAATAGCATCATATTATTCCATTACATGGATATACCATAGTTTATTTAACTCATCTTGTATTGATGGATATTGAGGTGATTAATTTCTTTTTTAGGTTATAATATGGTGCTACTCTTTATTTCACTTCAAAGGAAATTGATCAAAGTTATTCGTATTGATTTTGGGGGCCACTCAGCAGAAATATTTGCATGTTTTAAAAAAGGCTTATAACGAAATGCCAGCAATACTATGTAAAACTTAACAAGGTAGGCCGGGCGCGGTGGTTCACGCCTGTAATCCCAGCACTTTGGGAGGCTGAGGAGGGCAGATCACGAGGTCAGAAGATGGAGACCATCCTGGCTAACACGGTGAATCCCTGTCTCTACTGAAAATACAAAACGAATTAGTCAGGCATGGTGGCGGGTGACTGTAGTCCCAGCTACTCGGCAGGCTGAGGCAGGAGAATGGCATGGCGTGAACCCGAGACGCGGAGCTTGCGGTGAGCTGAGATCGCGCCACTGCCCTCCAGCCTGGGCGACAGAGCGAGACTCAGTCTCAGATAGATAGATAGATAGATAATAAAAAAGAACTTCACAAGGTAATCCCAGAAGTCATAGGACCAAAATTAGCTAAAACAACTTTGAAGAAATAGAATTTGGACAGAAGAATCACTGCCCCAAAACCCATACCATAATAATTAAATCCATATGGTATTGGTGCGGGGAAAGACTAGTATCCAATAGAACAGACTGGGAAACTCTAGTATGAGTCAGATTTTGGTATAAGACAGAAAAGCCATTACAGATCAATGGGGAAAGGATGGCTCATTTGATAAATAATACTGAGAAATGTGTTAATTATATAATAAAACTAAAACTGGATTCCTAGCTATGTCATACACAAAAATAAATTTTAGATTGGTTAAATGCCCAAAAGTAAAACTGTAAAACATTTAGAAGAAGCCCCCCAATGCCTCACTTACCTCATCTGTAAAATAGAAATAATTATAGTACCCACTTTGTGGGGTTGTTATGAAGATTAATTAATATCTATAATATGCTTAGAACATGGCCTGGCATATAGTGTTGTTATTTTTTTTTTTTTTTTGAGATGGAGTCTCAGTTTGTCAGTGGTGTGATCTTGGCTCACGGCAACCTCCGCCTTCCAGGTTCAAGTGATTCTCCTGCCTCAGCCTCCCTAGTAGCTGGGACTACAGGTGCATGCCACCACGCCCGGCTAATTTTCGGTATTTTTAGTAGAGATGGAGTTTCATCGTGTTAGCCAGGGTGGTCTTGATCTCCTGACCTCGTGATTCACCCACCTCAGCCTCCCAAAGTGCTGGGATTACAGGTGTGAGCCACCACTCCCAGCCTAGTGTTATTATTATTACTCTAAAATACCTTTACAAGTATAATGAAGAACTTTTCTAATCAGTGTTTTTTAAAACATAATGATAAATATGATAACTTTTCCTACTTTAAAATATAAAACCATATAAAGCACAAACATTAAAAGATAAACCATGGACTAGGAGAAGGTAGTTGAAATACATTTAACCAACAAAGTATTGGTCCAAAATTTATAAAGAACTCCTACAATTTCTTTCTGAAAAAGGAAAAGCTGGCCAGATGCGCTGGCTCATGCTTATAATTTCAGCACTTTGGGAGACCAAGGTGGGCAGATCACCTGAGGTCAAGAGTTTGAGACCAGCGTGGCCAACATGGTGAAATCCTGTCTCTACTAAAAATACAAAATTAGCTGTGTGTAGTGGTGCACACCTATAATCCCAGCTACTAGAGAGGCTGAGGCAGGAGAATCACTTGAACCTGGGAGGCAGAGGTTGCAGTGAGCCTAGATCGCGCCACTGCACTCCAGCTTGAGTGACAAGAGCGAAACTCTGTCTCAAAAAAAAAAAGGAAAAAAAAGAAAAAGCCAAAAAACCAGTAGAGAAATGGGTAAGGAATATCATTAAGTGAAGCTAAGGTAGGAGAATCACCTGAACCCAGGAAGTCAAGGCTGCGGTGAGCCATGATCACACCACTACACTGTAGCCTGGGTGATGGGAGTAAGACCCTATCTCAAATAAAAATAAAAAGGAATATGATTAAGTAATTCATTGAAGAGGAAACCTAAATGGACAACAAACATCAGAAGACACTAAGCCTCATTAGTAATTAGAGAAATGCAATTTGAAACAATTTCACATTGATGAGATTGGCAAGAGTTTCAAGTCTTCAAATACTAAATTTGGAGAAACTGCTAAGGAAGCAAGAACTCCATATGCATACACACTGGAAAGTGCATACAATGGTGCAAATGTTTTTATATTAGCCAGAAAAGGTAGAACTAGCCTAAATTCTTATCCAAAAGAGAACGTATAAATAAATTATGGAATACTGTATCATAGTTAAGAATGAACTGGATCTACATGTATCATCATGGATAAATCTCAAAACCATAACATTGAATATTTAGTGAACAAATAAAATTGCAAAAGTAAAGGTACGGTATGATGCCAGTTATGAAAATTTTATAAGTTCTTTTATATACTGTTAGAACTATATATATCCTGGCCAGGCACAGTGGCTCACGCTTGTAATCCCAGCACTTTGGGAGGCCAAGGCAGATGGATCACCGGAGGTCAGGAGTTTGAGACCAGCCTGACCAACATGGCAAAACCCCATCTCTACTAAAAATACAAAAATTAACTGGGCATGGTGGTGCATGCCTGTAATCCCAGCTCCTTGGGAAGCTGAGATAGGAGAATTGCTTGAACCCAGAAGGTAGAGGTTGCAGTGAGCCAAGACCGTACCATTGCACTCCAGCTGGGCGACAAGAGCAAAACTCCATCTCAAAAAAAAAAAAAAAAAAAAAAG